CTCCCTTGGAGGATCCCTTAGCACAAAGCTTGAGCTTTGGAAGTCGCTCAAGCGCTGTTGTGGCATCATCCACAGGAGCTTCGGGTTCCTCTTCACTAGGAACATCCTCAAAGCGGTCCTCTCCATCTTCCTTTGGTACCCTTTCTCTATGACTTGCCATTTCCTCACACAGTTAAGTGCTATCACGAGGAAACCTGCTCCGATACCAATTGAAAGGATCTAGCAAGTGGCCTAGAGGGGGTGAATAGGCCTTTTCTGAAATTTAATCACCTTATGAAAAACAGTCAGAATGTGGAACCTTCGGGTTTTAACGCGGAGGTTCCAGGGCGCGGAGGTTCCGGGACTAAGCGTGGAACCTCCGGGGATCATAGTATGAAATCGATCTACTACAGAATTTAACGAATGAAAAATAGATCGAATGTAATACCAACCTTCTTGGGGAGTATGTTGAGCTATCCAAACAGTCGGTTGCACCTAGAAGATGAGGAATTCGTAGATCGGATGCAAACCCTAAAAATCAATCCAAATCACAAGTAATAGCAACTACAACAACAGCAATCACAGTGAACACAAGGATTTATCCCATGGTTCAACTCGCCACAAAGGCTTGTCTACATCCACGTTGTTGAGGTTAGCCACAAAGGCTATGGAGTCTCTTTCAACTCGCTCCTCTTCTCCAACCTATCACCAAGGCAATGGGTTAGAGGGTTCCACTAAGTCACAAAGGGTAATACAAACTTCTCGGTGCTCAACCACAGTGGGATTGGGAGCTACCGGGCAACCGCTAGCCGTCTAGGAGCCAAGCTTCAAGAGTAACGAACACACCAAGCGGTTAGGGCTTCATCAAGTGCACAAAAACGGAGGAGAAGGATCTTCTTGAGCTTTCTCACACTCTCTAGAGCCAAATCCCTCAAGGAATCATAAAGATTTGAGCAAGGGAGTTGGGAGCACCAAGCTTGCGTGAGAGAGAGAGAGCTTCAGTTCTAGTCTGAGTGAATGAGGAAGAAGATGACCATTGGGGGCGAAGGGGTATGGTATAAATACCACCCACGTCACCCATAAAATGGTCTGGTCAGACAGACCCCGGAGCCTCCGCGTTTGAGCGCGGAGGTTCCGCGCAGGCCAGAGCAGATAAGAATTCAGCTCGGCTGGCCTTTTTATGGCTGGGATTATTTGAGATGTAGATGGAGTTTTGAGCACTTGGTTCCACCCAACACACCATTAGTATCCCCTTGATAGTACGGCTTGTCTTATGACTCAATTTCAAAATATAAAATGAATTAAACTAGCTCTTGGAGCCGTGGCAAGCCATCCATTCGAGTTGGGGGGTCTCCTCCTTTGTTTCTTTGCATCCACGATTAAAGATATGCTGTCAAACACTTGTCAAAGCCATTAGTCCTTTAATTATGTGGTCAACATCACCAAAGTCCACTTAGAGCTTGGTTGCACTTACAAGAACACTGTTGCATCAGCTCTCCTCGAGGTCGCCCAGAATGAAGGGAGAGAGAAGAGAGGGAGGAAAAACAAGTTGGGCCGCGGCCTTTATATGAGCCTGTCGCGCCAACGACTCTGGCGCGACAGGGCGAGACCCACGGTACGCCACGTCAACATCGGTCAAACATGATTGTCACTGTGGCTCGGCTTGTCGCGCCATCGCGTGGTACAGTCACGCCAGGCGCGCTGGCGCGACCAAAAGGATCAGATTTGTAAATACTTTTTTTGGGATTAATATTAAAATATTGTTTTAAAAAGGATTAAAAATTAAAAAATTTCCCAAAGAAGCTATGGAACCAGCTGGGCCACGCCGTAGCATCAGCACCCGGAAGCCAAGCCATCCACGTCGACGGCCCAGAAGGGGTTAAGCCCAAGTGAAGAGACGTGTCGTGGGCAAACTACGTAAGCCCTCTTTGGCAGAGCTCCTTCGGCTTTGTGCAAAGGGAGAGACTGCCACGAATAGTGGCTTCTTTTAGCTTCCTATTGTTTTGGAGAAAGAAGATAGAAAAGGAGCTTCTTGTAGTGCACTTGGACGAGCCGGAGCACTTCGGATTCGGAGCCGTGTCAAATGGCCCAGTAATCTTCTATGCGACCAACTGTAAACTGTAATGCTTTATCTTCTTTATTTATGAGGAGCATATTCCTATGAACTTTGCTATCAAATAACTGATCGTCCATCTAGAGAGTTATTATCAAAAATTGCTTCATATGAGGTAATAGAAAAAAATGCATATTGCGCGAGTCATGATATTTCCTAATATGTCATCTAACGTTTATTTTCAGTTGATGGATTTATATCATGTTTTTAATTTAACCCTACTAGTGTTAAGTGAAAGTGACTTGTAATTTTTTTTCTTGAATGCGACATACTTGGAAGTGTAGGTCTAACATAATCTGCTCCCACACATGTGGATTCACATGTATTGGTGAAAAATTAACTAATTTTTACCTCAATTCACTCTCACGCACGTGGATGACACTGATTGGGTAGCAAATGCTCCTGTGAATAGAGAGCCTAAAACTAATTGTTATTGTAAATAGACAGGTAGTGAACAAAATGGACAATGGCGAAATATATTCGTTACTTAGGTTTTAAGAAGATATAAGTTGATTATGAGATATTTAAATGTGGATTATTTCAATTTGGAACTTCTAATTTTGAGTTCAAAAGCTCACGATTTGGGTTCATAGTCAAATTTTGATTACCAAAACTTAGGCAAGCCAAAATTTTGGCAGCCATTTGGTTTGCTACTAAAATTTGTGAACACTTCACAATTAGCATGTGAAATCTATGGCAAAAAATTTTGCCCTTGTTTTGGCAATTTTTTCTTGTCAAATTTTTGGCATGGCAGCTTTTGGTAGCTAACTAAGCAGGCCCTAACGGAGTGGCTAGCGCCCGAACGTCCGAACGCTAGCCCTCGTTCGGACGCCCGCGCCGCTGCCACTCGTCCCGTGCCTGCTCACCTATGTCTGACCTGCTGCACCTGCCCGCAAGGACGTGGGGCCCACCCACGCCAGTGGAGACCGCCTCCACCAGCGCTGGCTTCCCGCACCCTAACACCGAGACAGCAGAAAAGCGAGGAGGGAGATGCAACACCGATCTAGTTTTAAAATATCCAGATGCAACGATTGCAACGTACGCCTGAAAACAAATATAACATTTGAAACATGCTTCTGAAACACTTGCAAAAACACCTAAAAACACTAAAAACTATTGTAAACATATGCAACATCCAGATAAAAACACTTGCATCATATGTGTTAAAACATATATAACATCCAGATAAACACACTTACAACCCATCAAAAAAAACAGATGAAACATTGAGAACAAGAGTTTGCAACATACGCGTACAACCATTGCAACATATGCAACATCTCAATCTACTTTTGTTGTTTTGCAACATCCGTATAAAACACTTGCAATATTCCTCTGAAATATCTAAAACAATTGAAACATACTCTTGCAACACTCGCTTTTAGCGCAAGCGCAATATCACCTTGCTGGTTGGACGAATGAAGCTCGTTATTGTGGAGCTCAACACCGGCCCGGAGCTCGATGCCACGGAGTGCGCGGAGGTCACTGGTGCGCGGAGCTCGGCGGCGGCACGGACCTCGCCATTGGTCACGGCAGGTGGATGGAGTGCAGCCGCGATGGGAGGCGCGAGTACGGGCTAGGGCACGCAGCTCGAGCGGAGGCGCCGCCAGCAAGTGGCTCGAGCTGAGGCAGGGGTGGTGCCGACGAGCAGCTCGGACAGGGGCATCCTGTGACCGCGAGCGGAGGCGCACAGCATAGAGCGGCGTGAGCGACGCGGTTGTGTGGATGAGGATTAGCCATAAGGTCCGGGCTGGAAGTCACGCAAACAACACAGGCGAGTGAATGAGGATAAGCCATGTTCAGAAGGAAGAAAGTCACGGGTCAGACGCCCGAGCTATATCATTATCGCTGTATTAATCATCAGCAGTTGAAATTCTGGGCTCGCAATTCCCTTCTTAAAAAAGGAACCTGATTTCGGCCTGTTACAACAGGTTCTAAAAATAGTCGGATATTTTCTTAATGAGTTACTTTCTTCGTTCAAACCGTAGTTGCTCAAGGAGTAGACTGCAGCCAGACAAATAAAAGTCCGAAACCCCAAATTGGACTTTCAAACCGTAGTGTCTTCTTAAATATTTTAGCAGCTAGTGACCTCAATATGGAAAGAATAGAACTTAAGGGAGTACAAGCTTCCACGAGACTAAGTTGCCCTTATCTATTTATATAAATAGAGATTTGCTAGACCAATTCAGCCATTGAATGTCCTACCTGATTTTTGCTCAATAAGAAAAATTGTTAAGCTCCAAAATATCATGTGCTTGTAAAATATGATTTTGCAAAGAGCAAAGATACATAGTATAAAAATACAGGAATTCGATATGTAACATTGCCATCAGAAAGCAACTGAATTCTAGACAAACATTTGCCTTTTATTGTATATATAATCTCATTGGGAGTGCACTGACAACATTGTATTCCTAAAATCGGAATTCCCCTCCTCCCCCACACACACACACACACACACAAACAAACCTCATAAAAAAAGTATAAAATCTAGTGCAAAATGTCCCAATATACGATATGCCAACTATTTCAAGAAGATAAACTACACAGTTACACTTGACCAAAGATTCTTTTCCTCGACCAGATAACTGATACTAGGAGTTAATGTGAGCTAGGCGTATGGCACATCATGACAACCATCGAACTATCCATCAGCAAAGTCAAATTAGACCGCGATTGCCCCTACCGGCATAATTTACAAGCATTTTCTACAGGTAAAACTAGCTGGGGAACAATAAAGTAAATAGCTCATTCGACACCACCAAGCATATTAAAGCCTAGTGTTCATGTTTGACGCGCCCTTTTAGTATCCCTGGAATAGGAGGCGAGTTTGGTACCCTAACTCCTCTTGGCCCTGGAGGCTGCGGTGATTGATGCCAATAATTGTTCGGTGTACTTGAGCACTCACCTCCATTCACAACAGGAGCTTGTGTACAATCATTTTCTTCTTTGCCAGATAATCCCATTGCCTTCAGTACAAAGGTATCATCCTGCAACTCAAAAGGAGTGCTGCATTTTTGAGAAATATGCGAGTCAGCAAGGGTTTAGCACTCAGGAGCCCTTCATGCAATGTACATAAGACCTTGAAGGCAAAGCAAAAAAAATTGAAAACATCTATCACAGAAATGAGAAAACGCTCATCGGTTCATGTGAGTAAAAAGGCTAGTTAGATGTTCTCAAGTGAAAAATAATTCAGCAAACTGGCATTCCATCTGCTCATAGATTAGGACATTAAGATCACAGAAGGGAGAAAAGTCATGAGAGCCCCCTGATTAGAAATAGACAGGCTGTACTTTCAAAAAAAAATCAGGCAACCGCATTCACAAATCATTAAAGAGAGCTTCATGTACTAATTGCATAAGAATAAAAAAAGGGTGTACCCAGTGCAGAGAGCCCCCACTCTGTGCGGGGTCTGGGGAAGTACTAATTGCATAAGAATCATGGAATAAAATTGTTGAATCATCCAGAAGATGTTATAGATCTAACACATTCTTATGAACGGACATCTTTTCATTAGGAGTCCAAAATCAGGAGATAAATATGTTATTAAAGACTGTTTATCTGGCTCACAAGATATATAATGCAAAGGGGAACAGAATGTAATTCTTGTCTTACCTATTGAAGTCAAAATGCACAAGCTGCATATCTTCTGATATCTCCACTTCTACAGTTGCATGAGGACGTGTCTGGTTACACAACAAATGAAGGTAACTGTCATTTAGCACATCATGGCCAAAAAAAATTATGGAACTTGCATAATGAAGTTGAGAAGACATAACACAAGGAATAAAAGTGATGAACAAAGGTAATGGTAGCAAAGCAACAAGAGTTCACTAAGGATGCTTCTGCATGACCTTAATGCTAATGATTCTTGCCATTATAGTTCACTAAAACAGACCAATTCAAAAGTCATAACAACAGACACATGGCACCAATGCTCAGTTCCTCCATCAACCAGTTCGTGCGTGCCTTGAGGAAGGTGGAGAAGGGCCAGCTTCATTGAAGATGCATCCTGATGGCAGTGAATTTCTCGGTGAGGCCATGGATGACATTGAGGACGAGGGTGCGGTCAACCACAGGCTTACCGAGATCGCGAGATCGGAGAGGGCGTCAGCCATGATCTTGAAGCACCGGCAGTAGTCCACGATCAAGGGATCGTCTTGAACAAAGTAGCAAAACTCTGCATCGAGGTAGAGTGCACACATTCCTGGTTGCAGAGAAACTAGGTCTCAATGGTGAGCCAGGTAGTGCGTGCAGAGACACGGTGTTTCAACACCATCCCGACCAACTCGTTGCAGATCATGCCGAGGAGCATTGACTTAACCTCACAGTCCAGGCGCATCCAATCTGGTAGAGTTGGGTCAGGGTCATCGCTGAGGACATGGGCCTCGAGGGAGTACTTACCAAGATCGGAGGAAGAGCTTGTGCCACCTAAAGTAGTGGCCAAAGGTGAGGTCAAGGATGAGAGGCACCAGGGTGCAGACGTTCTGTACAGTGACCGTCTGGGCATGGGCATGGGCGTGGGCGTCGGCATAGAGGTTGGCCAAGGCAGCAGTCTCATGGAGAAGGAGAGGATCACGAAGGGAAGGGGGACCGTGTGCACTGACTCCCGTTGGACTCAGCACGGTCATCATTGGCCTGGATGGCTGCGCGCTCCAAAGCCACGTGCTCGTGGTCAATGGTGTCCTAGCGATCCTTGGCAGCGGTGGCGGCTTCGTGCTCAGCAGCCTCCAGGGTGTCGGCACCATCAGTGCCAGGGTTCCACTACATGCCTTGGCAGTGGCAGTGATGCGCTAGGGTGCGTGCAGCTTCCTCAGCTTTGGTGGCTGCCACGCACCCGCTATCGGCGGCTGCAGCAGCCTTGGAGCGCTCATCAGTGGCAGTGCCAAGGGAAGCGAAGGAGGCCGGTGGCAGCACAATAGGCATGACAGCTAGAGGGTGGAGTTAGGGTTTGAGCGGAAGCAGAAGGTTGAGGATCGACCAGCCTAATACCATGTAAGAATATGGCACGAAATTGATGGATTGGTTATGGAGGATAAAAGGTTACACATGTATCGGCAAGGATGACCGGATGACCTAGGGTTTGGCTTACAGAACAGAAACAATCTATGGTGATCCTTGCCTATAATGACTCAATCATAACCATTCTAATAACCTAATTATGTGTGGGCGCATGGCCCATAGTGACATCAACCGAGCAGCCCATTGGGCCAGTTACCCATGTGTCGTCTAACATAAAGCAACATAAAGATACCGCCAATTTCAAAAAAAAAATGTTGTGGTACCCACCACCCACTAAACAAAAGATGAACCAGCTAGTTCACATTGTTTTTAAGAACTTGATCGGATTACAACTACTGAGCTGCAACTCCTCTTATTCAAAATCTATGTCCCAAACTCAACAATAGGAACTTTTATGGAAATTAGTCATATTTGGAACCTTGTTATTTTATGAATTTAAGACTTCGAAGTTAAATATCAGTTAGCCTAAAAAAATTAAATTTCTTGATCAATATGTAGCATGTTACTAAATGATGAGGCATTTCTATCAAAAAATAAAAAATAGAAAGTGGACACTGTGAAAGTCTAAACAATGAAATAGGGCTTTGGATGGTGGAACATTTCTATTCAAATCCACAATGGAATCCATTTGCTTCCAACGACATCTCGCTTGCTAGGGTATCTCTGAAATGGCTCAAAATGTTCTCTTTTGAAACTGGCATTGGAACATAATGATACAATGAAGTATCTCTAGATCCATGTTTGGAGAAGATGGAGCATTATTTTTACCTTAACTAGTATAAATGGCAAGGCCACTCCACCGGAGGGTGCATCTCCCGACCCATATAGCTGCTCATTCCGTCGAACCAAGTTTTGGAGACATGCATACTTAAATAAAAAATAAAAAAATAAACTCATAAGATTCACAAAGCATGAAGTAACATAACAAATGAATGAGTTTCAAAATATTTCAGATTCAACATTGAAAAATGAAGGAACAAATATCATTACTAATTCAATCTGCAATGGAGAAATACAGCTAACGCATGTACTAAAAACAGCTTCATACTAATGTTCTGGAACTGACTTACAATGATTAATTCTGATCGAGAGACCATTGTTTTTTAGGCGTCGCCTAGGCGACAAGGCGTGCCCAGGGTGCTGGGCGTCGGGGTCGCCACGGCATGCGTGCGTATGGCATCCGCCATATGAAATTAGGCGTCGATTAGGCATGGAAAGGCGTCGGGCGAGCGCCTAGAGGCCTGTGGCGGACGCCGGAGCAGCAAGTCGAGAGGAAGACGGAATTGGGCGGGGAATCGAGCGGACACAATGAAAACTGGCGGGAATCGACCGCGTCACGTCCGCGCTAGAAGGAAAAGGGCGGGAATCGACCGCATATATGCTGTTGAGCGGCAAACCTCCCGCTCGAGGGCTTTTACCACAGGTGCGGGCCGCTGCAGCTTCACGGAGAGAGGAGAGGAAAAGAGGCGGCGGCGGCGGTGGCCCTGCTTCTTGGCGGCAGAGGCGAAGGCGGAGGCTTGCTGCTCCTTGCTCGAGTCCACCGGCCGCGCGCACCTCCCGCGAGTCCGCCCCTGCATCTCCTCCTAGCTGCTCGAGTCCACCAGGGGTCTGTCCGCACCGCACCTGCAGCTCCTGCCCGTCTGCACCTGCTCGCCCGCCTCCGTCGACCGTCTACCCGTCCACCTCGTATGCTCCCTGCCTCCTCTCTGGTCTCCTCTGCAGACCTGCTTCCCTCCTCTTCCTCTGTTTCTTTCTCTTCCTCTGCTTCCCTCCTCTTCCTCTGTTTCTTTCCCTATTCCTCTGTTTCTTTCCTCTGTTTCTTTCCCTGCAGCACTAGTCATTAAGTTATATTATGTTATTAGAGACTAATTTGTGGCTATTGAGTGATGAGAGATTTCAGATTTGCTATTTTGCTACTTTACGTTGTGCACTAGCACTCTGATAGCATTATTTATTATGGTATTACATGCTAAGACTTGGCAATATTAAGGTATGATTTGCTTCTGAATTTTAGTATCATTATATATTAAGATGATCGTATGGCGTCGCCTAGGCGTCCGCCATAAACGCCTAGGCGTTGTGAAGGGGGTACGGCGCCACGCGTCCCCGCAGCACCTCAAAAACAATGCGAGAGACACTTAGTAGCACAAAAGTCCACTGAGCAGCTAACTAGATAAAAAAAAAAAGATCACACAGCCATACAGGACCCTCCAAAATATATACTCCTTCCGTCCCAAAATAAGTGCACATCTCACATTTCGAGTCAACTATTTTCAAGTTTCAACATTTGTATATCCATAGGTTTACTATGAAAATATCTAGCATGATTAATCTAATTATTCTTATTTGGTATCATGAATATTAGTATTTTTTAATATATTTAATCAATGGATTGGTTGACTCCTCGAAATGCGAGACGTGCACTTATATTTTGGGACGGAGTATTTCTGAAATCCATGTAGCAACTGAATCACTTTTGCTTTAATTATACAATCCAACATAAACTCAAAGGCATCTCTGCCTTTTGCTTTAATAATGTAACAAATGAGCAGAGAAGGCTAGGCATTCATCTAATTCTGTATGCACCTGGTTGTTGTGCCACATCAGCGTGCAGAAGCGGTTCCAAATTTAAGATGCAGAAGCGCTTCCAAATTTAAGATCCAGGAGAGTTAAATTTTCTAATGCTATTCTTGAAATAGTCCCATGGACAAATATACAATTAATTTTGAGTGCAACAGAAACCATGAAATCTACAATGCTAGGTATTTCACGTTTAAAGTGTATGAATCAAAAGTACTGCATAATAGGTCAGTCGTAGTTTTATATAACATTGGGGGACACAGAATATTGATGTTATCAATTGGCTTATATCATGAGGAAATTAAGAAAGAAGGGACCAGTCAATTCTTACTTGATCTTGTAAATCCTGCAGATATGCAGTTTTCTTGTCAATCCTACCTTCCAGTCCAATCACCTCTGTCTGCAATATATGCATAAACTTAATGAAATGAGCAGAAAGGGTCAAACTCTCAGCAAATCCACATTATTAGAGATAAGGAGCAGAACCTTCAATTCTTCAATATCGTTCATACTTGTCTTGGGCAAGCCTCTCCACTGTATTTCCTTTTTATCTTTAGATATAATTTCCATAGCCATTAGGACATTCAGCGCATCATAAACTCTTCTTCGAATATTTTTCTCATCATATTGTTGCTGCATTTTTAACATAATCAGAATGGCATTTAACTACTTAATAAATCACTGACCAAGAGTCATAGTAGTATTACCGCGGAGGGATTATCAGGATCTGGAGAGTCAATATTAATATTGGGATCTGAAAACTCAGCAACCAGTTCATCTGCCACCTGAAAAATGCACGCCATATGCATAAATTTTCTGATGCTGCAACAGATTGATAGAAGGAGATGCAGGGGAAAGGGGATGCAATGTTTTCATTTAACTAAAAATAATTATGTGGAGGAGGGACCAAAGCAGAATCTCCATCCCACACTGTTAAACCAAGATATATTCCTGGTATAGATCAATATCCAATATTATGAAGTTGTGACGATCCACAAGAGTATCTTCCCAGAATATTGTTCATTAGTTAAGAGTTATTCCTTTTCTAAAAAAATAAGAAACTACAAACAATAATTTGATGCTGTTTGTGTTGTTCATGCCCCAGAAAGGCACTGATATTGACAAGAGGTGGCAAATCCACACAGTAACAGTTTACTTACGCATATCAACATATGATGTACTCCATTCAAAATTGTAAATCGTTTTGGCCTTTTTAGATACATAGATTTTACTGTACATCTAGACATAGCGTATATCTAGGTGCATAGCAAAAACTATGCACTAAGAAAAGCTAGAATGACTTACAATTTGGAACGGAGGGAGTAAATATAACAGTTTATTTGCCACTTCTTATCAATATCAGCGCTCTTCTAAAGATACCAGCTCTTCTGCTGAAAATCCACACAGGTATAAAGTATATGGGACGAATGGTTAAACACATGTGGTTTAGTTGTAAACTTTGGAGGTGAGTCTGTATCTTCTGTGCTACTCCTATGGCAGTACCTAATGTTCACTGGCTGCTTATACGAACTTCTGCTTTGCAAAAAGGGATGTTATACAATGTAACTGTACCAAATAAGACTAGGTATAGCTAACATAGAAAAGAGAGTGAATACCTCATTGTAGGTTGTTCTCCCTTTGCTTTCGACTTTCTCACAGACTGAAAAAATAAATAAAAACTTCATGAAACTTGAAAACCTAACATGCAGTGAACTCCAGCTCAATAAATTGGCCCACTCAAGAATAGTACAGCACATGTATGATGCAAACAAATAAAAGAAATAATTTAAAAAATTTGTGGCACACACAGTTGAAAAAAAAAAGAGAGAGACTTTTATGTCAATCTCATTTCTCTTATGCTCACATAAACCAATAACAAGTGAAAATGGTAAAGGAACTCTTTAAACCACCTCTCATGCTAAATTGGCGCAATCCACGGCCATTTTTGTCAGGACCAACTGCACGTGCCCCTCTCTTTTTCTTCTTGCTGCATCATAAATAGAGAAGCAGCTGTGTTTTAGAAATGTGTTACGTAAATGGCCAGATAAATAAGTGAAAATAAGAAATGATGCAAGTTACCAAATATAAACAGTAGCAAGCTGAAGTTACTGTGGCAAAGCAAAACAAAATTTAAGTTATTTAAACATTACTAGTTCTGGATCAATCAATAAGCTAGAATATCTAACCTCAGAAAAAAATATACACCTAGAGAAATCAACAAGGGATACCAAAGGTGGCAAAAAATAGAAAATCATCCAAAAGTCATGTTCTCTGTGCAAAGGTGCCATGAGCTGCTACAAGAGCTATAAAAAGGACAAATTCCAGAGTTTCTGTTTCATGATAGAATGAACATATACAAAACCAATACAATTAAGATGCCACAAGCACTAGCTAGAATTCCCAATACTAATACAGTAAGTTGAGAAACAAATTTAAGAATAAATTTATCATGCATGCAATGACACTAACAACAATGTTGTGTGGCTTGTTTTAACGTGCTTGTAAAAGAGCCATAACAATTTAGTCAGGTTCAAAAGGATCCTCTAAAAACACTAGCGACCCCTTCCACCAATTCGGCAATTCCCACACTCCAGAACAAGCTAAAGACCACACATAAGGCAAATCTAGAGCAGGAACAAATGCAGATCGGCATGGTACTATCCACACGACCAAACCCCCTTAGCTCAAACCCGCAAAACACCACTAGCTCACGCGGCACATCACACAGTCCCTCTGATCAAGTAATTAAGCAGGGGAGCCGAAATCCCAACTCGACCAAGGATGGAATCAAGCCGGCGGGGGGTCACGCACCTCGCGGCTGGCTGCGACGATGGCGCGTCGTCGCTCTGGAGGTCAAGTCCGTTGAGGCGGCGGGCGACGGTGCTCTCGCTGGCTGGCGTAGAGACCGACGCCGAGGCCGAGGGCGCGGCGCCGCCCCTGTCGGAGGGGGAGCCGCCCCCAACACCGGTGGACGCGGAGTGGGCTGCCCCGCCGGAGGGTCCGGCGCCGGAGACCATCGCGAGCTAGGATCGGCCGGAATTGGGGCGGACCGGCGGAGGAAGCGGGGAGAAACCCTAGCGACGCGACGAGAAGTGCGAGGGAATAGAGTCCTGGAGTCTGGAGGGAGAGGAGATGCGAGGGCCGAGGGAACGGCAGATCCGAGCTGAGGAGCACGGGAGAGCGCGGAGAAAACGGACTTGAGAAATTTTTTCTTTTTCTTTTCTAGATCTCCTTTTCTTGTGGGGTTTGGAGTTTCGTTTTTCTTTCTTTTTTTTTTTTTTTTTTTGCTCCATTCTACTCCTCCTTAGGCAAATATGGGGTTTAGAAAGAGAAAAAGAACTCCTTCAGAAAATATCCGATTTTAAGTTTAGGTCCTGCTTTAACAGGCCGAAATCAGGCTTCAGGCTTCTTCTTTTTTTAAAAAACTTGGCTCTTGGGCCTTTAAATTAACTTCAAAACTAGCTGAAAAGCGGGCAACACGACTGATTACAAAAGCACGAATAGGATACTTCTATGTTTCCTCCAATCTTAACCTTAACTCAAGCCTAAAGTAGTTATCTCATGTGCGGACGAGTTACAATTTCTTGAGACATAAAAGCAATCAAAATGAGAAAAAATTTCTCTTACTAGAGCACGAATATCTTTGAAGATCACTCCTGGAGAAGCTTGGTCCAACTCCGATGAGAGCACAACTTTCTGAGCAACACCGATTCAGTCTCTAGTTGAACTCAGAGACATACCATATGTCATCGTCGCCTCCAAGGTCTACCAGCATGCAATTGCTTCCTACACTTTTGCTAGAATTGCCCGCCCCTGCTATTACAGGTTCTCCTGGGTAGTCTCTAACAATAAAGCCCCATCCTCTCTGCTTTGTTGCCTAGACAAAAACGCCACTGGTGTTAATCTTCAACAGACCTTCCGAAGGAGCCACCCAAGAAGTCTCCACCCTGCTTGTCAGCAGGGACTTTTGGCTTTCGTTGAACTTCCCTTGCCATGCGACACACCACCTTGGTCACCACGAAGCTTGCATCTATGGCTTCACCGGCGGATCACTATCATGGTACTCCTTTCTTCGATTCTCTCCAACATGTCATGTGAGGAGCGCATCTCAACTAGCTCAAGTCTCTCAACCTCGAGCCCCAGTTCCTGCCAACATTTCGTGGCGAATTTACACTTAAGAAAATAGTGTCCCCCCGTCCTCATCAAAGCGCTCGCAAACTAGGCAGACAATATTAGTGTGCACACCCCATCTCTTGATGCTCATTCTCAGAGCTAGGCTATTTTGTGTTAGGCGCCAAATAAACTATTTTACTTTCGGTGGACAAGCCAGATTCCATATTCTCTTCCACTTAAAACATCCTGGACTGGCTGCGTTCGAATTGGAGGACTCGTCTCGCTGGCGAGGCACCTCACACTCCTAGCTGTCCTCCAGGACATGATAAGCCGATTTCACTGAGAAAACACCATTTTGTATTAAAATGTCAGGCCGCAAAATCATCGTTCCTGTCCTCACTTGAATAGCCATGATCTCTCTTACATCATCCCCAAAAGATATAACATAACAATTGACCATCCCATGTACCGGTATGGTATCAATAAGCTTAGACACTTTGGATAGACAACCTGTTCGTTTAGCTGTGGCTTGTCGTAAACGATCGTAAATTTTCAGCCGGAACAGTATTTTTCTCTCACACAAACCAGCCAGCAGTACTTCTTCACGAACCAGCAACGATACGAACTAGCCAACCGAACAGGCTGAGAAGCACTGAACGTCTAGGTGTAATGGGTCGACGTGTCAGCCCTCTTCATTTTCCACTTGGCAAGATAAATTCTAGTAACAAATAGATATTTAGAAAATTATTATTAATTAATTAATACTAGAAATATGGTGCGCTCTCTCGAGTGTTATACCCCTTCTGATCTTCTCTCACCACTTCGTTTCTTTTGAGCGACACCAGGGACAGACCGACGTTTTCTTTCGGCTTTGTCTCGTCTCCACGTCGGTGGGTGAAATGCACGGAAGGAACAGGCCACCCCGTCCTGTTGGAGACGCCGGACGCGTGCCAACCAGCCTCGGCTTTGACCAATGATGGTTTTCCCGGTCAAAGCGCGGGCTCCGTTTCGCATCTCCTTCCCCAACCCATCCGGTACGGACTACGGAGCCAAATCTCGCCCAAACGAAAAAGCGCAGAGATCTCCAGGCAGCAGCAGTGTTGCAGACGCCCGGATTCGGGGTCCGTCGTTCCTCCATAGACCGCGAATCCCCTCCTGCACCTGCGGGATTCGCCGCCTGTCGCAGATCCAAGAAACGCATTCCGGTTCGCTTCTCCCTCATGTCGCCAGGCTCGACACACCCGTTTCTTCTCGCGTGTTCCTGGACTGACTGATTCCGTATGCGTGCTCATTGTCTGGATTTCTCAGGGCGTGGAACCAGTTGGGCCAGGGAAGATTTAACCAGGCGGGCCCGGACGGAGGCTAGGGTTGGGTCTGATGCTCCCAGCTCGCTGAGGATCGCTACGAGATAGGCTTCTGATTCGGCCAGACGGCCCTTGAAATGGTGAGGATCTCGTGAGCCTCCTCTCTTCAGATTCAGCTGTTTCGGTTCTTGTCGGTTACTTGCTATCCAGTTGATCCTGTGCTTTAGGAACGTGCAAAGCGAGGGAAAACAAAGCAGATAACGTGAGTCTGTGACGTGCCTTCTTGTTGGATTTAGTTGTCTTTCAATTGAATGCTTAAGTTGGCTTGTACTCTTGTACAGCGATGCAAATGCTTTAGAATGCTCTCAGCCCTCGGGGTCTTTGATTACCTCTTGTCATACGATGCGTGTACCTACCGTTTAACCATTATTTGGGCCATTTAATCAAGAGAAACGGCTGTTTAAATGCGATAAATGGCCAGGTTAAACGGAAACGGTGTATCACCCTGTAGCATTTAAATGGTGTCTAAATGGGATAAATGACCTTTTAGGCAAACAGTGTTTACTTGTGTGTACCAGTAAATCAGTGTTGCTTAAACCCACAAATAAAAAGGGAATAGAAGGAACTAACTTGTTTCAACCCTGGCTGGTTTGGTTATATAAGTAGATTAGATTTACTGTGATTTATAGATGACAAGTTGACAACTGTGATCATTGCTTTGCAGATGGAGGAGGGGCAATCAGCTTCATATACTGTGGATGACGCACTCTTGTCATCAGGTTTTGGGAGGTTCCAGATATTGATTCTTTCATATGCTGGGATTGGCTTGATTGCCGAAGCGATGGAAATGATGCTGCTATCATTTGTTGGTCCATCAGTACAGCTAGAATGGAAGCTTACTTCTCACCAGGAAAGCATGATTACAAGTGTTGTTTTTGTTGGAATGCTGATTGGCGCTTACTCGTGGGGTGTGGTTTCGGACAACTATGGAAGGAGGCAGGTCCAATCTTTTACTTATGTCATGTACCTTTTTGCACAAAATTCTGGAAGTCCATTTCCTTTGTTCTTGCCGATGTTTAACATGGAGTTAGCAAAACTTGTTCGGTTGTTCCTGATGTAGTTTCTATTGGACAGTTGCTCCTTCCTACTTCCTAGTTATAGCTGATTAGCAACAGCGTCGCGTTTGGGATCAGAATACACCATGTATAGCCAAGAGCATCTCTATGATTTCTTTTTTTAGCCCCACAAAGCTACTCTGAAATAGTTCAAATGAATGATCATGAATTAATCACCAGCCAAGTTCATTACATGTTATTTCTGAGAACAAGCTTCATATCGTCCTCAAAATTTATGGTCATGAATGAATTGCTTGTTTACATCATACAAGTCCTTACACTCTGTTTTATTGGATTCTATAGGAGAGGCTTTCTCTTTACTGCCATTGTGACAAGTGGAGCTGGATTCTTGAGTGCTTTTGCTCCGAACTATGTGTCATTAATTTCCCTGAGATTCTTAGTTGGTATTGGTTTGGGAGGAGGGCCTGTTCTGGGATCTTGGTTCTTGGAATTTGTTCCTGCTCCAACTAGAGGAACTTGGATGGTGGTATTTTCTGCATTTTGGACTGTTGGGACAATCTTGGAGGCATCTCTTGCATGGGTATAATATTTTCTCCTGAATATTTTGAGACTGATAATGTATTCATATTTTATAATAGTGCCCAGCATCAAAATTAGCAGTAAACATTAAGCATGATAAATCATAACCTGGTGCAACTGATTCTCAATCTCTCATTGTATACTCCAGTTTATTCAGAAATTTATGAACCACTCACTAACAGTTAATCTGCTAATAGCGTTGCTGATTACCATACAGACAATTAACCTGTAGTATTATGGGTCTATTGAAAGAAAAAGTACATGGAATAAGAATAAATTTCAGGGAGACTAGCTATCTAAAACATCACTTGTGAAAGGAACTTCGATTGTTAGGGCATAGAATCAGAATTAGTTTGTGCTTTTGTTTACCAAATCTGTTAAGTATTATGTATATCTGCGGATATTTTCTTCTGCAACACCTGTAACTTTATTTTGGTTACTTTGATACAAAGATCTACAATATACTATCCAGGTCTGGATAGGCAGCTCATAATCAGACAGAAACATATTCTTGCAGACGCATTAGACTAGAAGATTCCAGTATTCCACCATGTTTTTCCATGCCTAATTTTTTTCACCATATTAATGGCAGACAGTTATGCCTAAGTTTGGCTGGAGGTGGTTGTTAGCATTATCAGCTATTCCATCTTTTCTCCTGCTGCTATTTTATGCCATTACGCCAGAGTCACCAAGGTTCCTTTGCATGAAAGGCCGAACTTCCGAGGCTGTGGATGTATTGGAGAAAATGGCAAGACTAAACAATGTACAACTACCTTCTGGGAGGCTTGTTTCTGACAAAAATATTGAGCTAGATGAAGTTTCAGGATCTTCAGAGTCCACAACACTTCTGTCTGGTGCCGAAGAAAGTGACAACCTAAGTGAAGATCAAGGTTCTGATTTCGGAGGTATTAAGTCCGTTGGCAAGCTACTCGCACCAAAACTGATCAGAGCAACCCTGCTTCTGTGGATGGCCTTCTTTGGAAATGCATTTGCCTATTATGGCATTGTTCTTCTGACATCAGAGCTCAGTAATGGAAATAGGATATGTGCCAAACAGGATGTCGAATCAGTTAATTCAACTAATGCAAGCCTATATAAGAATGTTTTCATATCTAGTTTTGCAGGTTGGTTACTGGTGTGCATAATATGATTATCATAACTACCTTCAAAAGCATGTGATGAGTTGCTTACCAATGCTGCCATGTTTTCTTGAAACAGAGATCCCAGGGTCATTTCTATCGGCCATGATCGTGGATAGATTTGGTCGCAAGCTTTCAATGGCGTCGATGCTCTTCACTAGCTGTGTTTTCTTATTCCCACTAGTGTTCTCCCTGACAGATATACTAACCAGAATCTCCTTGTTTGGTGCCCGGCTCTGTATATCTGCCAGCTTCACCATTGTATACATATATGCTCCAGAGGTCAGTGAGGTTCTTGTGCAAACATCAGTTCATTCTCCACCTTGGTGATACTGACAGATAAACCAAACGGTGTCTGTGCTAACATTTCTTTTATTGTTCGTCTTTGGTCTATTGTTCAGATTTACCCGACTGCGGTGAGGACGACGGGCATCGGCATCGCGAGCTCAGTGGGCAGGATCGGGGGCATCCTCTGCCCGCTCGTCGCGGTCGCGCTGGTGCACAGCTGCCAGCAGACGACGGCGATCCTCCTCTTCGAGCTTGTAATCTTCCTCTCCGGCCTGGCCGTCTCGTTCTTCCCCTTCGAGACGAAGGGGTGTAGACTCAACGACACCGAGGTGGACATGAACTGATCCGGTGGCTGGGTGTACTGTGAACTGTGACTGAGAGAGCAATGTTCCTGAATTGCCTATTGATTGAACATTCTTAGCAACACGAATACATGGATGTTTTACCATTGGAAAATAAATAAATGGACGTGTCGATGGGCTGTTTGTTTCTCTCTGTGCTCTGTTACAACAGCGATTGCCGCCGCCCGCCGCCTACGGCGTGATCCTTGATCCTCCATCGCCGATGGCCCGAAGGCCTTCCCCAAATGCCGTTACCAGATGGGCCGGCTGCTGCCTGCACCTCGTTGCGCGCTGCGCAAACCACCACCACTTAACAGTGCCGATGGGGAAGGTCGAGAGTCCCCTCCCCAAGCCCATTTCTCTAAAATATTTGTCCATTTCGTGTCTGGCAGTATCAGTTCTACTATGTAGTTTCCTTCAACTTGTCATTAACCCTATGACGAGCTTTCTTCATTTGCAAAATAATGCACCATATCATGCTCTCAACATACTCTAAATTCTCTACATGCTTCTTTCCATGGTAAAGTTTTCTTAAATCCTGCAGTAACGTACGGGAACTCACCAAGTTAAGAGATGCAAATGCAACTAATACATACAACAACAACTACTAACTAGTTCCATGCAAACATTAGGCAGAAAGTACAATGCACATCATACATTGGCTCTAGGTGTACGCTCACTGCAGCTTTTTACGGCTGCAGCTTCAGCTCTGCCTGCGAACAGCAAACTGATTTCTACTGTATATCCTTTTACAACGTGCCCCCTCAGCTGAGAAAAATCAGACGAACATGCATCAAGCTTAATTGTTGCTTATTTAGGGTGAATAATGAACCACTTAGCTTGTTTAGCTTGCGATTTGGCTCATTAAATCTATCAACCATCAACTATTAAAATACTAGCTCACCTCACTTAAAAATGAAAATGAGCCGAGCTGAGCCGAGAAAACCTAAGCAGAGTGAGCTAGCAAGCAAGCGCACGTTTGGTTCCAAAGCCAATATATCTTACCTGACAGGCAAGCCTTGCCTTGCTGGTGGTGGAGGAGGGCCAATTCGTCTCACTTGCTTCGGTAAAGAAAAACTTGCTTGTGCACGAGGTGATCCAACAAGAAATCTAAACGTATTCCAATCTTTATAGCCCCAAGCCCACATCATACCCATGCCTAGGGCTAGACGAAAAACTTAGGGCTTGCTAGCTCGCTCGGCTCGGTGCTAACTCGGCTCAGCTTGTTTACTTTTCTTAACAAGTCGAGCTAGTATTTTAGCTCGTTAAGTTAATGAGCTAGCTCGAGCTGGCTCGCAAGTTAAATGAGCCAAATACTTTGTGTTCGACAACTTAAAATAGTAACAATTAAGCTTAATTTTATGTTATGTGTATGAAACTGGAGTCAACATAGAATAAATTAGTATATATTGATTTATGCATTGATTACAATTGTTAATGAGCTAGCCCGCGAGCCGAACGCTGGCTCACGAGCTAAACGAGCCGAGCTGAGCCGAGCTAGAGTTTTAGTTCGTTTACTTAACAAGCCGAGCCGAGCCATATCTTTATCCCAACGAGCCGAGCCATAACGAGCTGAGCTGACTCGTTATCCAGCCCTACCTATAGTTTTCCAAACGGGCGGCACTGGCACTGCACGTCACTAGCACTACACGGCACGACACTATCAGGCACGGCACTATCAGGCACGGTGTCACTGCCGTGCCGTGCCGTATAGTGCCACCGTGCCCAGACTCTGGCCCAGGCACGCACTAAAGCCCTCAGATAGTGTCGTGCCGTGCCACAGGGCACGGCAGCCCAGCGGACTAGTGCCGTGCCTTGGCACTAAAACCACATCACCACTTCAACAAATCGGAATCAAAAGAACAATTCAAAAACAAACTTGAAATCTGATGAATCTGAAATCACAAAGAAGAAAACACAAGACGGGAAGTGGGTCAGCAGCAGTACGGCCGTAGAGTTCCTCAGCAGCACGACGGCCGAAGAGCTCCTCGGCATCCCCAGCGACATCGTCCTCGTCGTCTCCGGTCATCCCGCAGAGGCGCAGCTCGTCGTTGGTGGTCGTGGAGAGACCGATGTCCTCCTGCTCGTCCGACATCTCGTCGTCGCCGGCCTCTGGTCCCTCAACGCCAATGCCCACCAAAACCAAGAACAACAAGAACACCTAGAGTTAATAGAAGATCATGAAGAAATCAAGAAGAAGAACAAAAACGAACAGATCTAGGGTTACGGCTCACCTCTCTTGACGGAGCACCAGAGACAACGGCGACGACGACGTCGCGGAGACCCGACACCCTGGTACCTCAACGCATCAGAGCGGAGCCCAATGACGCCGGACTCCGGCGAGGTCGATGAGAGCGACGAGACAGAGACGAAGACGAACGGTGGTGGATCTCGACGAGAAAGCTACATCGACGGTCAGGGGGAAGGAAGAGTGGTGTAGAAGTGCCGTGTGCCCGTGCCAGCAGGCAGCAACCGCCGCCTTAACCAGCCACCGGACGGCGGGAAGAAGAGAGGAGAGCGGCTAGGGTTTCAGTCGATGGGAGAGCTCGATGCTACTGGAATGGGGACAGGGGACGGACCGACGGAATGAGATAGGGTTTGGAAAGGCTCCGAGCTAGGAGCGGCGGCTGGCTTATAAAGCCGTCTCACCTGACCCCTAGATCCAACGGTCAGCAGGCGGGGGGGGGGGCTCCATCCAACGGCTCGAGGCCGTGCCGCCCCAGTGCCGGCCGTTGAAGCGGGCCGTGCCCGTGCCGTGCCATTGTGCTGGCATCGTGGCCCAGGCACGGGCACGGTAGCTGCCGGGCCGGGCCGTTTTCATACCGGGCCAAATAGTACCGTGCTCGTGTCGGCCCAGCGGGCTTGGCCCGTTTGGAAAACTATAGCCCTACCCATGCCAGCACCACCACACCTGCACCACTGTGTTGCTACACTATGCTTGTACATACCAGCACCACCACATTGGTGTTGTTGCCACACACACACCCTCGCAGCAGTCACACCGCATTGCTGCTACACTATGCTTGTACATACCAGCACCACCACTATGGCACGCTTGTGGAGAGAGAGAGTGGATGGATGGGAGAGACGCAGAGAGGGAAGCCGGACGGAACAATGTACACGTGAAAGAGATAAGGTTGAGAGAAAGGAAAAGACATAGGAGCGAGAAAGGGAAGAGATAAGATTCATATGGGACCCATGCTAAATTTTTAACTAACCAGTCTCGATGTTTTTTTCAACGGCACACGGAAACGTTTAGAGGTCGGTCCTACGCCGACCACATTGATTTTTAGATGTTTTAGGGACGGTTGAAAACACCAATTGTCTATAGAAATGGTATTTCTTTAGCTATGGCGATGATGTTGTGGACTACCTCTAAAAATAGGGGTACTTCTTACTTCTAAGGACAATTTAAGATGTCAACCACATCTAGAAATCAATTTTTATTAGAAGCGGCCTGTAAATAGAACTATTTTTAGAGACGTTTTTATGCAACCACGGTTAGAGAAAAAAAATGAGACACCTCTAAAAATCAGCTATAGCAATGTATAAGATAAAGCACACACATGTATTAGGCACTTTGCTTCTGTGCCATGCTTTGCAAGAGGGAAAGAAAATGCATCGCGTTGATGTTCGTTCGTTCTAAGTTTTTGTAGCCACTGAAATTATGCATGGAAAGCAAATGCTCAATAAGCTATGGAACAAATTAATCCTCCAAGGCACAATACGCATGCACCTCTCCCTTGGTCGTCGAAGCAGTACGTCTACAAATGAAAGCAAGAAGTCGAGCACACTGCACATGGCCACGGATCACTCGATCGGTTGTGAGTGTTGTGACTCTCAGTCTCACGGCGTGTGGGAGCACCGCCGTGCAAGTGCAAGGTGCACTGGGTCGTCCGCGACACTGAACTGAAGCCAGCCACCACCTGCCCGCGTCGTACGTTGCACACTACTGGAGACGGCCTCTTTTGCCGAGGGCGGCCCTCGGCAAAGAGCTCTCAGGGAATTTTGAGTCGGCGAAGAAGGTCTTTGCCGAGGGCCCTTTATCGGACACTTGGCAAAGCCTTTGCCGAGGGCTGGACCGGCACTCGGCAAAAAAAAGCAGCCGTCACGGCGCCGGCGCCTGGGACGGAGTCTTTGCCGAGAGCCGTCTCCGGAGGCCCTCGGCAAAGAATTATTCTTTTTTTAAAAAAAATCTTTGCCGAGGGCCTCCAACCATGGCCCTCGGCAAAGAAATGTTGTAGAATTTTTCAAAAAATCATTGCCGAGGGCAATAGGACGGCCCTCGGCAAAGAGTTATTCTTTTTTTTTTGAAAAATCTTTGCCGAGGGCTTTTCCGCAGGCCCTCGGCAAAGAAATTTTAATTTTTTTAAAAAAAGTCTTTGCCGAGGGCCTCCAACCATGACCCTCGGCAAAGAAATGTTCCAGAATTTTTCCAATGAATCTTTGTCGAGGGCAATGGGACGGCCCTCGGCAGAGGACCCTTCTTTGCCGAGGGCCTTGGTCATTGCCCTCGGCAAAGAGGCAGAAATTTAATTTTTTTTTTGCATTTTTTGCATTCCATATATACACAAGCATCACACACATATATATATATATATATATATATATATATATATATATATATATATATATATATATATATATATATATATATCACACAGAACATATTTTCTCACAATATATCACAACCATAATTGTGAACCACAAATCACAATATATTACAACGACAAGTCACATGTTCATCATCATTCACATGTTTATTACGACAAGTTCATGAAATCCAAGCACAAGTCAGAACCATAAACCACAAATATTACAATAAAGTACAACCACATCACCTAGCACTAGTCCTCATCAAGGTAGCCTATGAGACGGTGGTGAAGGAAAGGCGGGATCACCCGGTGACGCATTACCGGGATGATTGGAACCCGCAGACGGAGGCTACACAAAGGAACAGAGATTTCAAATTGCATCATTGGCCAAATAGATAGTAGGAGGAGAGTAAGTGTAGCAGCTAGTACTAGGAGTAGGAGTAATAGTAGTAACAGTAGTAGTACACTAGGAGTAGTAATAGTAGATATCAGTATGCAGTAGTAGTAGGGTAGTAGAATAGTAGCAGGGGAGTAGTAGTACATATTTGGCTCAGATTTGCCCCATTGTAATCACATAGCCTCTAAATTGGTTGCTTGTATGTGGTATGCAAGCCATCCTAGTTTAGCGGCTCACAAGTATGGGGATATTTCATCATCATTGCCGCTGCCTCAGCATACAAAGTTTCACATCATTGCATATGCCATTGCCTCACTACATTTGGTTTAGAAGTTTGAACAAATTCATCATTGCAAATGCCACAAATTCAGTTAGTAGATAGAGAAGCAAGTAGTAGTAGTAAGCAACTTAAAATTTGGCATTTGCTCAGAAAAAATTGGCATCATAGGCACTGGCATTTGCTCAGAACAAATTAGCATCATAGGCAATGGCATATGCTAAGCATTCCAAATATTGGCATCACAGGCAGCAATGGAAGTTAACTGAGCTTAGCAATGAAAATCCAAAATTCCAAAAATTGCATAACATTAGCTAGGGTTCGTCATCTACATCACCAACCAACAGGAGTAGTAATAGTAGATATCAGTATACAGTAGTAGTAGGAATTCAGTAAATAGTAGATAGCAGTACAAATAGTAGGAAAATAGCAGTAGGGTAGTAGAGAGCAACAACCAGCCAACACCATTAGTAGTAGTAGTAGAGACTATATAGAGTAGTAGAAATAGGAGCTAATAGCAGTAGGAGTAGTAATAGTAGATATCAGTAGTTGTAGCAGTAGGCAGATTAAATGCATAAACATGTTTGTTTGTAAATAATTGCTCTTAAAATAGCGGGTTGCTGCACCAAGCAGCCTTCCAACGCTTGTTGGTGATCATTGATCCTTGACTAATGTGACAGCCCTTCTTACCAAAATAACAGGTTCTAGATCAAAAATTAAGTGCCTAGAAATAGCAATATAACCAGAAAAATAAGTTACTGAAGATTAGTACAAAACAGGTTATATGCTCATAGGATTAACCAACTGATCAACTAATAAGCAGTTCAAATTAATAGATAAATTGCTAGGCAAATAATTAAACAGTGCTGAAAATAATCAACACTCTAGAATTCAGTTGTCACGTTGTCTCACTACACCGCTTTGTATCATCGAGCAACAAATTAGTCCGCCCAATAGTGCAATCACACCCAAGTTATAGAAACTAGCATATTGCACATTAAAAATAATAGAGGCATCATAGGCAGCAATAGAATTAATCACAGGCATCACATAGGCAACAAGAAAAGGGGATCCAAAACCTGCAGGGAGGAAGAAAAGGGGATCCAAAACCTGCTAGGGTTCGGGCTCCCTATGCGGAGGAGGAAGAAGACGGACGGAGGGACGCCGAGCAGGAGGAAGACAGGCAAGGGAAGGAAGAAGACGTGTGTGGGCGGAGGTATGCGGGGGGAGGAAGAAGATGGCGCGGGGAGGAAGACAGCAGTCTTGGACGGAGGGAGGGACCGCCCGGCTGCCGGAAATGGTCGGCCCGGCACCACCTGACCACCACTGGGCGGCCGAGGCGAGGGGGGCCGGGCCACTGAGGAGCTGCAGGGTGGGCGCGGCCCGGCTCTGAGGTGGGTGGGCATGGTCGTGAGGCGAGGCCATGAGGAGGGCGCGCGATGGTATGCTGGCGGGGGCTCGCCGCCGTGGCGATTCGATTCACGGCGAGGGCTGGCAATGCAGGGGTGGGGCGGGTATGGCTAGCTTAGGGTTGGGCCGCACGGGGGTTGGGCCGGTGGACTTGTAGTGCCCGGTTTTTTTTGAAAATCATCTTTGCCGAGTGCCTCCTGGGCCGGCACTCGGCAAAGCCCACTTTGCCGAGTGCCCCCCATGGCACTCGGCAAAAAAAAAAATTTGATTTTGGGCCCAAAATTTTTTTTGGGGCCTTGTGACAGTATTTCAAACTATATTTTAAAATTTGGGGCAATTTTGACTTTTTTTGATATATTTCATTAGTTTATTTCGTTTCATCGAATTTTTTGGGATATTTTAAATTTGAACTGCAG